GGGTTGAAAGGGTCCTTGAATGGGTCCTTGAAGGTCAAAGAACCATAGAATGTGTTGGGTTGAATGGGTCCTTGAAGGTCACAGAACCCCAGAATGTGTTGGGTTGAAAGGGTCCTTGAAGGTCACAGAACCACAGAATGTGTTGGGTTGAATGGGTCCTTGAAGGTCACAGAACCCCAGAATGTGTTGGGTTGAATGGGTCCTTGAAGGCCAAAGAACCCCAGAATGTGTTGGGTTGAATGGGTCCTTGAAGATCAAAGAACCCCAGAATGTGTTGGGTTGAATGGGTCCTTGAAGATCAAAGAACCCCAGAATGTGTTGGGTTGAATGGGTCCTTGAAGGTCACAGAACCACAGAATGTATTTGGTTGAATGACTCCTTAAAGGTCATAAAAGTCCACAACCACAGACAGTTTGGGTTAGATGGGTCCTTAAAGATCACAGAAGCACGGAATGGGTGAGGTTGGAAGGGTCCTTAAAGGCTACGGAACCCCCAAACCCCACAAAGTTTGGGTCAGATGGCTCCTTCAAGATCATGAAACCACGGGGTCACAGCACGGCTGGGCTGGAAGGACCCCAAAGCCCCCCCAGCCCCACTCCTGCCATGTCTGGGTGCCCCCCACCCTGTGGGCACCTCCAGGATGGGGCAGCACAGCTCTGGGCAGCAGCGCCAGGGCCTTATTGCCCTCTGAGGGAAGAATTTCCCCTTCACACCTGACCTCAATTTCCCCTCTGGGAGTTTTAAACCATTCCCTTCACTGGGGGCCTTCTGCCTCCACCTTCCAAAGCTCCCGGCGCGGGGTGCAGTGCACACGTGCTGCTCCAGCTGCTCTTTCTGCTCGCTGGGTTGAGCACAGCTTGGCTGGTTCTGCTCTTCCAGATGGGGCGAAGCTTTGCTGGGCAGCCTGGGTGCTCTGGGGCGAGGGCTGCAGCGTGGAGCGTGTGGGAGCTGGAGCACAAAAAGCTCCAGCTGTGGGTGTTTGAGCTCCGGTGCCACTTTTGGCCTTCAGGATTTACGGCAAGCTGAGCCTAGGAAGGGACGCCCTGCAGTTTCTTTAGGAGCAGAGGCACAGGCTTGAGAAAAGGTGTTCTGTCTGTTTAACAACAAGGGGCAGCCCTCATCGCATGCAGCAGAAGAAGAAATGAAACTCTTGCAGCGTTGCACCCTGCTCTGTTTAGTGCCGAATGATGGGGTCACAGCACGGCTGGGTTGGAAGGACCCCAAAGCCCCCCCCAGGCCGACCCCTGCCACGGCTGGGTGCCCCCCACCCTGTGGGCACCTCCAGGATGGGGCAGCACAGCTCTGGGCAGCAGCGCCAGGGCCTTATTGCCCTCTGAGGGAAGAATTTCCCCTTCACACCTGACCTCAGTTTCCCCTCTGGGAGTTTTAACCCGTTCCCCTCATCCCATCACTGTGGCCAAAGCGATCAGAAGCGTTTATGAGATCTCCTGAGGTCCTGGAAGGACGCAGTGAGGTCTCCCTGCAGTCTTCTCCTCTCCAGGCTGCACGCCCGGAGCTCAGCCTGTCGGCACAGCGCAGGAGCTCCAACCTGGGAGCATCCTCAGTCAGCTGTGCGTGGACCCACTGCTCCATCGCAGCCACGTCCCTCCGCATCCCATCCCTTCCTACTGCCACAACTGGGGGCAGCAGCGCCGGGCCCTGACTGCCCTGTGAGCGAAGAAATCCCTCCTGCCATCCCACAGAAACGCAGCAGACGACCGAGGCAAAGCCAAGAGGGGCGGCGCAGGGCAGCCTACCTGCTCCTGGAGCTCCGCTAAGCGCTGAGCCCTCTCCTCTTCCGAGTCGTCGGAGGAGCTGTCGCTGTCGGAGGAGCTGTCGCTGCTGCTGTCGCTGGACGAAGGGGGAACCACTTTGGTCGGAGGTGGAACCACCACGGGAGAGGAGGCCGGGATCACCGGTTCCTCCGGTTCATCCGGCATCTTGGCGAAGCGCATCTCAAACACGTCCTGCAAAAAAACAGATGGAAATGGGGTCGGCGGGGCTCCGAGGAGCGCCTGACGCCTGCCTGCACGACGCTGCCAGCTGCAGAGCGCCTCCTTCCACGCCTTGAATCCATCCGGGACTTGGGTTTGATCAAGGGGGGGGAAATTTAGAGGTAAGGAAGGCCAAGAGCCATTGGAAAGCTGCAGTGCTGGCGGGGAGGCGAGGGCAGCGCTCGGCAGGCTGCGCTTTTCCATCCCTGCGCAACAAAAGCTCTTCCCAGCAGCCAGGGGCACCAAACCGCCTCCTGCTCACCCCTCTGCATGGAAGTCGCTGCTCTGCTGATCAACACCCGTTTCTGTCCAAACCTCGGGGGGATAAGCAGCGAAAGGACGACTGCGGCCTTTATCAGCACGGCGGGGATGAAGGCTGCGCTGCGCTCACAGCTTGTGCTGTTTTGGGTGAAGCAGTGCTCTCAGGTCCAGCACTCTGGGTCCCACACATTTTGGGGCACCCCCACATTTTGCTTTCCTTCCGTTCCTCAGGACAGAACAAAGCAGCACCCCCACATTTTGCTTTCCTTCCGTTCCTCAGGACAGAACAAAGCAGCACCCCCACATTTTGCTTTCCTTCCGTTCCTCAGGACAGAACAAGCGCTGCTTGCAGGAAAAAACACCACTCTGGGCAGCTCCAAGAGACCTGAAGGCGTTCTCAACCCCATGGTTCAAAGCTGTGCTCTGTCACCAAGCTCCTTCAGGGGCTTTGGAGGTCACAGAACCCCAGAACGTGTTGGGTTGAATGGGTCCTTGAATGGGTCCTTGAAGGTCACAGAACCATAGAATGTGCTGGGTTGAATGGGCCCTTGAAGGCCAAAGAACCCCAGAATGTGTTGGGTTGAATGGGTCCTTGAAGGCCAAAGAACCACAGAATGTGTTGGGTTGAATGGGTCCTTGAATGGGTCCTTGAAGGTCACAGAAGCATTGAATCTGTAGGACTGAATGGGTCCTTGCAGGTCATAGAACCACAGAGATCCGGAGGGGATGCAGCTGAACTCTGCTGCTCAGCAGAGGCTGACGCTCAGGCCATGGTCACCATCCACCCGTTTGTGCAGCTCCTTTGCAGCACCCAGAGCACGACGCGTGCGCTTTGCTCCTACCAGCCTACTGTGAACCTCAGCTCCAAAGTCCCTGCACAACAACCCAGAGGGAGACATTCTTCCACCCGGCGCCCCCTCCACGCATATCCGACCTTCAGCACCCCAAAAGGCCCCGAAATGATGGGGTCCGGCCCGTCCTCGAGGTCACCGTGGGGTCCTGTGGGGCTCCAGCACTTTGCTGAGCCACCTCTGAGCTTCTTCCATGCCCGAGCAGGGCTGCATTTCTCCACCTCTGCTCCGGAGCTGCAATGCTGCTTCGCTGCTTCCATCTGCTGGCAGCAAGGCCGCTTTCTCTTCCAGGCTCCTGGCACAGGGACTGAAGGCTGGGAAGGGAAGGAGCCTGGATTGCTGGCTTTGCTCCTTCTGCCATGCGCTGACTCACCGCCCTTAATGAGTGTTGAGGAGCTAATTACTGTTTCCCACGAACCAGAAAATCCAGTGCTTGATTACCGCCAGCAGCCAACGCTGCGCAGGCAGCACCTTTACATCCCCTGGGTCAGAAATGAAACCTCCCCACATTTCTGGACCCGTGCAGCTTTTAGGTCAGCCCTTACGAAAGCAGAGCGGGATCCGTTTGAGCCAAGTCCACTGCAACCAATTCAGCAGTTAAGACAAAACCCCAACACTGCCAAAACCCTCAGCTCTGCAAGTGCATTCACAGGGAACAGACGAAAGACAAACCCTAATGAAGAAGCAGATAATGAGCTAATTAAGGGATTCTTCCTGCCCCTGCTTGCACCAACACCAACCAGGTTCAGGCTGTGAGCTGCTGAGAGCACCGAAACTCCTTCCAAATTCACCTTCCAACAGCAAAGCAGCACCAGGTGGCTTTTGGGTGGGTGTTCTTTTGGGGGCTGATGCTCAGCCACTTTTTGGGACAGGTGAAAAACGGGGCTGTGCGTAAAGCAATGCGTGGTGATGGAACTCAGCCACGTCCAGAGCTGAGATCCCAGCCTGGCTGCAAACCTCGGCAGCGGCCCTCTGTAAAGCCGCTCACCTCCGTCTCTCACTTCAGATCAGAGTTTTTACACTTGGTTTCAGCAGGAAGCAGTTTTACGCACAGCCTCACGTTGCCAAGCGCTGCTGGAGCAGCTTCACAAAGGAGCAAAGCTTTCCCCTGCGGATGGGGGCGAGAGAAAAGACATCAGAACGCCCCACAGGAGCCATGGAAGCGGCTGTGAAGTTCTGCTCCGGACCAAGAGCAGCCAGAGGGTGAGCAGCGTGGTTTTTTGGGTGTCCACCTGCCTACAGTGCAGCAGAGCAACAGGGAACGCGCAGAACGCTGCCAGTTCCACACCAAAAAGCTCTGGGATCACACGCAGCGAGCGCTGATCTCCAATTAAACCAACTCAAACCTGAGTGCAGCTTTACAGAAGCATCAAAGTGATTTCAGGGCCCTGAACTCGGGGGCTCAGAGGCAGGAGAGGCACGGAGCTCAGCGCTGCTTCCCAGAAGAGCCCTGCTGAGAGCTGCGCTCAACACCTGCAGTTTCTTTGCAGCTGCACCGTGAATAACAGACAGCTTCTGTGCTGCAGAGACCAGGAGAGAGCAGAAACCGGGCTGAGAATTAACAGGAATGGCAGCGCTGAGAGGCTGGCACGGCCCCTGCGCTCTCCCCAGGGGCTGTGGGGAGGAAGGGGACCCTTCAGAGCGCTGCCTTTCCTCCCACTCCTTCACAGAATCACAGAATCACCCGGGTTGGAAGGGACCCCAAGGATCATGGAGTTCCAACCCCCCTGCCTGGCAGGGCCACCAAACATCCACATTCAGATCAGGTTGCCCAGGACCCCGTCCAACCTGGCCTTGAACACGTCCAAGGACGGGGCATCCACAACCTCCCTGGGCAGCCCGTTCCAGGGCCCAACCACTCTCCTAGTAAAGAACTTCCCCCTAACATCCAACCTCAATCTTCCCTCCTTCAACTTGGATCCATTTCCCCTCGTCCTGCTGTTGTCAGCCCTTCTGAACAGTTTACTCCCCTCCTGGGTGTAGGTTCCCTTCAGGTATTGATAGGCTGC